ACAGGTTGGCGGGGCGGAGCTCTGTGCGATCTGTCCGCGTTTGCGAGGACCCCAGGATCGCGCAGGACAAGTGGACGCGGGGCCCCTGGGAAAAATCACACGCCGTGGCTGGAAGAGCACAGGGGAGAGACAGAGGGGGGACGACGTTGGAGATGCCAGGCCCAACTTGTTGTGCGCTTTCGCCAAGGCGGTGTAAGTTGGCCAGGATATCAAGCACGCACGTCTCAGAAACGGGATGAGCGGCTAGCTTCTCCAGTTCAGACGCGAGCCAAGCGAGACTGCCACTTGGGTGCCCCGCGACCACTGGGGCCCTGGCCCACAGAAAAGACCCGACGATCCGGCGCGCGGCGAAGAAGGAGCAGCGGCCCGCGAGGGGCCACTCGACGCGCAGAGGGCCCAGGTCGGAGCGACCAAAAAGCTCTGGGCGGGTGCGATATCGGCCTCGGAACGCGACGCGCCAGGTGGAGAAGGAGAAAGCCAGCACAATCCCGCGGACCAATCATATCCACGACCGCGGGGGCGTGAAGATTAAACGCAGGATCAAATTCCAGGTCAGCTTCGATGACGCCCCGTCCGCCGCATCTCCGAAGGTTGCGAGCGATGCCCCCAATGCACGAGAACGGCGGTAGAAACACTTGGCCTTTGCGAGGACTGTCGGGAGGGGCCCCAGACAAGGCATGAGACCATGCTCGATGGATGTTGGCGCGGCTCGGACGACATGACGAGTCAAGTGTCTCCAGGCCACCCAGGCTCCTGGCATGCGAGCGAGGGAGTTCAACAGCTCGGCATGGGCTTCGGGCGGCAGCGCAGCCGCCCTGAGAAGAGGCCGGCGAGGTTGGCCTCGACCCAGTCTCGGTAGCCCCCGGCGGCACTGTCCAGCTTCTCGCTTCCCGCAAGGTAGCGGGCCCCCTTCCAGCACCGCCTGGTGCTGGACTCGCTCAGGCGCCTCAGCCTCTCCTGGGCGGCCCCGAACTCCCGCGCCTTCAACGGAACGTCGTGAGATGCCGCCCCACGGCGCACTTGGTAGGGGCTAGCGTCGTCGAGACCGGTCTGCCCCGCGCGCCCCTCGAAGTCCCGGCGGAATTTCGGCCCCGCGAGCGGCCGAAGCGGCATGCGGGAGCAGCTCCAGCTCTTGAGGCGCTGCAGCGCGAAGCTGACGGACTGCGCTGCCTCCAACTCGAGCGCCGCCACCTCGTCGGAATTGCTGGACTTGCTCCGCCCTGGCAGCTCCTCGGGCAAGAGGGGGATCGCCCAGCGGCCGATCTGGCTCTAGACTCCAGGCGCCACCAGCGAGCCGCCCACCACCTCGACGAGGTCGGCGGGCAGCCCAAAGTACGCGCCCCAGGAGACAAGGAGGCCGAGGGAGAAGCCGACCAAGTCGCAGAACACGCCTGCCCCGATGATCGCGAACACCGCCGCCTTGGGCAGGGGCTTCAATCTTCTCGAAAACCCCGAGCGCGGCCGGGCCGTCCTCCAGGGCGCCCTCTCGCAGGCGCCGACCTTCCCGATGTCGGGCCCGGCAGCCCCAGATGCATCGGAGGCGGCCGCGCAAGAGTTGAACGGCCCCTTGGCGTCCACCGCAGCGAAAGGCAGAAGGGCGGCGGCAACGCGCACCTCGCGGATCACGAGACCCCACAAACGCCACCGACGCTCCCGGGCCATATCGCAGAAGCGATGGCAACGACCAGGAACAGGCAGGAACTCTCGCTTCAAAGGATAAGCCCAGGCGAGGTGCCCCAAGACCCGACGGAGCTGGACATCGCCACACCAATCAATGCGGCAAAACTCCAACAGCAAAGGCCGGTCCTCAGAAGCCTCGACCACCCCCTTTTACCAACCAGACCTCGAGATCCCAGGAGCTCAACAGCAGCCGCGCACCCGGCCGCGCAGGTTTCTTCGTCGGACCCGACAAAGGCGACGCACTCGACAAAAGCGACGCCGCCTTCGAGCCTGGCTGCTGCACGCCGATCCCAGATGAATCCGGAGGGGGGAAAGGGGGTGGGCCAGAATCTAGAACCGCTTCCTCTACCATACACTAACAATACTAAAACCGAGACCTTCCCACGGGAAACACGCAAACGACGGGCGAGAGTTCTCCACCCCCACGGAGCCAACCAGGGCTTCCAGGACAGAGCGCCTCGAGATGCGGGCAGGAGACGGGGGGGGGCGAAGTGATCTCCCATTGCCTCGGGAAGGCCTCTTCGATGGAAAAGCACTGTGGACGTCCGCCTGACATAGTGAGAGCTCTCCTTGATCAGGCACACATATATGTATATATAGAATGCCACGCACTTGCAGTGGACAGCCACAAATACTCAGGGTAACGGAAAAAAACGCTGCTTCCCCGAATGCAAAAAACCTTCGCGGTTTCACGCCACCACTCTTCCAGGCGAAGAACGCTGCAAGAGTGGGTTTGGGCCGACCCCTCAAAGAAACTAAGCCAACGTCCCCGAGGTCTAAAACAGTCTTGGCGCGCGTCATCTTGGGCCGCAAACGGCAATCCGCGCGAGGTTTGAGCTGACTGAACACTGTCTCCCGACTGACATCGGGGCGCAAGAAGCTGTCTCCACTCCCAAAAAAACTTAAAGCCGCTCCGCCAGGGCAGCGGGCCCCCTCGGCCAAGGCCCCGCTGGGCGGCAGCGAGGCGAGATTTCCCTGGGAAGGAGCCATTTTCACTGGGTCACCGCACCCAGGTCTGCCCCCGCATAGCTCACTGCAGGCCCCCGCGGGGGATTGCGCCTGGAGCGCCGAATCGATTCCAACATCGATGGAGGCGCCTCGAGACTGAGCAGGCGAAAAATGATGCGAAGCCTGGGCCCCGCCGCGGTTGCGCAACAAATGAAGGCAACGAGGGGCGCATGAACATGCTACTCGACAACGGCGCGGCGGCGCGCCCAGCTGCGGACGCCGCGGCTGCCGCGGCCCGCGCCGGGGGCGCCGCGGGGGGCCGGCAGGGCGGCCAGATTGACCGGCAGCAGCACCTCGAGAGCGACCACCATGCCTGGCCGGCAGCCAGCCGCGGCGGGCGCAGAGGGCGCCTCGCGACCGGCAGGGTGCACTCGCATGGGCTACTCCTCCCTGCGGCCGCCACCGTGGCCGCTCCCGGCATCGCCGTCATGCTGACCCCGTCCGCCGCCGCGGCCCGCCCGGGGGTTCTTGCGCTCCGCCGCCGCCGCCCCCTCCGCGCGAGGAGATGGCGCGCTCCTCCCAGAGCTCGCGCCGCTCTTCGAGGACACCGGCCTCGCGGTGCAGCTCGGACGCGATGTGGCCGTGGAACTCGCGCGCGATCATGAGGCGACCGCGCGTCTCGGTGAGAAACTCTCCCTCGGCGCCGCCCACCGTGTCGGAGCGCCCGACCACCCGCCCCCGGTAGCGATTCTCGATGAGCTGTGCCCTCTGGGCGATGTACTCGAAGATGTGCTGACGTTCAGCTGGTCGAAGGACAGGGCGACGTCGAACACGCGCATGCAAAGCTTGTTCTCTGCCGCGCCAGGGTCCGCACTTGAGAGACCCGTCTCGTGTTTCCACCTGGCGTGACGCGAACAAGGGATGAGCGTTCTGGTTCGCGACGAACCTCAGGCATCAGCGCGTGGTTCGTGGCCCGAGGACGAGCCCCAAAAAGGCCTGGATATCTCATTGATCAGGTTCACGGCGTCCTTGAATACACGTCGGCGTTCGCCGTCGCTGTTGACCTTGATGCTCAGCACGCGGCCGTCCAGGTCGCCGTCGCCGCCCAGCTCGTCCCGCTTCACCACGCGCAGCACGTACGCGTACCTGACCATCTTCGTGAACACACACCCATCGACCGCCACGAAGCCGTCCGTCGCGCTGACCATGAACTCAGTCCGCACCGCGTCGGCGCTGGCGGTGGCCATGATCTCCCAGCCGTGGCCGTACAGGGGCTCAGGCAGAGGACCATGGCCGACATCGAAGTCAGCCGGAATCACCACGGCTCCAGCCCTTGAGGACACCTTCGCCTGGTCCGCCGCGGCCAGCGGTTGCTTCTCCGCCAACCCATGGATGGGCTTCGCTCCTGCGTCGGAGAGAGCCCCGTGGCGGCAGGGGCACAGGGCTTGGACGTAGTCCCACGGCGTCGGCTCCAAGTCGCTCCCGTAAAGCTGATGGCGTCGTCGCAACTTCTGGCCCTCGGTCGTGGCGTCGATGGGCTAGCTGGAACGTCGAGCGCCACCACTCCCGTCAGAGGGCCTACGGCCAGGAAGTGCGGGTAGACGTCCCCCCGGGGGTGAGGCAGTAGAAGCACTTCTTCACCAGAGCTGGAGGAACTGGGTCGCCCACGACCTCGGTGTACTCGCCAGGCGGGCACTCGCATACGATGGCTCGGACCTGCCAGGCTTGCCCGGCCTTCCACAGGACGGCCACACACTGTCCAGTTTCCACAGCCGATGGTACAGCAGCAGCACCCGTGGGACACGCCAAGCACGAAACTGAGGACGCACACCGAAGCCAGGAAGCTCATCAGGTCACTGGTCGCCTCGGACACCCGCCAGCGTCCTCCAGCGCAGGCACCAGTTCGCACAGGCCAGTTGGCAAGTGATCGAGGGCGAGTGGCAGAATCTTCGTGCCGAGGAAAGCAAAGAACTCCACGCGCGCTGTCCTCTGAATTGACTTGGGCCGCGATCCAACGGCCGACAAGCACGCGCGCCAAGCATTGCCCATCCAGAAGATCACTCGGCAGAGCGTAGACACAGGAGGGGGAGATGAGGGCTAGGAGGGGGGAAAGAGGAGGAAAGGGAGAGGAAGGGAAGGGGAAAGGGGGAAAGATGAGGTGGGAAGGGGAATGAGACGGGGAAGAAAAGGAAGGCGGGAAGGGGGGAGGGCGGAAGAGGAAGGGAAGGGGTAAAGGAGGGAGGGGCATGAGCACTTCAGCACGTAGGCGTCATAACCCTTTCCTGCGAGCGTGGCAACGCCTGCATTGTGGCAGCGAAGTGCAAGCACGGTGAAGCGAGCAAGCGGGCAGGCTTCGCTCACGCCCGGGGAGCCACTCCGGCATCTCCGCGCGCTTCGTGTGTTTCTTGGAGCCGAGGTGCGGTTCGTCTGCCCACTGGTTGCACAACATGCAGAAACGCCCGCCGTCCTTATCCACCAAGTACCTGTCCCGTTGGAGGCGAAGCAAGGCGACGCAGCAAGATAGACACGAGGATGGCGGATTCAGGGGGGAGGCTCAAGGCAGCATCTGCGAGCAGCAAGTGATCTGACCTAGTGCGGGACAAGTGGAAGGTGCACCTTCGGGCCAACATGCATGTCGTGAGGTGATCCTGGATCCACCATTTCACAGATTTCTGGGGGACACGCTGAAAGGGCAGCGTTTTATTTGTCAAGCTGGCCATACAGCACATCTGCAGGAACAGATGGGTAGCGAGCATGGGCACCAACCAAACAGCCGCCCAGATAAGCCACGAGTCCGCTTGGAATGACGCGCGCTGAGCAAACCCTCGCGTAGTGGCCCAGCAAAATGCATAGCAGCGGATACAGACTGGAACATGGCCGACCCGCATCCGCGACTTATCCAACGACGACGACGAAGCCAGATGAGATAGTGATAGGGGGGCGGGAGGACAAGAGAACCAAGCATGTAAAGGAGACGAGAAGGGAGGCCTGAGACGGAAACAGAGGACACGAGACAGCAGACGATAGACAGCGAACAGGAGACATGCGACATGAGGGCGGAGGAGAGAGGGGCGAAGACCGTGGAAAGAGAGCATCGAGAAAGTAAAAAGGAAAGCTTGGTGAGTTCGCGACAGATCTGACATCATACCCCCTCCCGTCCATCCCTGCCCAAATGGTGAGAGCGGGGTTGCATTCATAATAGGAAAAATGCAAGGGCCCCGAAGTGTGGCAAACACCGAGGCGAGAGCGCCGTTCCGAATGACTGGGAACGTTCCGAATTGAAAAGCACGTAAGATGCTGCGGTCCGAGGAAACCTGCGCGTAGAGAACGTACACTGGCTTGGCGGGTCAAAACGTCGCCACTGGCAGGGGTAAGAAGAGGGTAGCACGCACACTTAATGAGCCACTGCAAGGATTAGAAAGCGAGGGAGAGAGAGGGAGAGCGAGAGAGAGAGAGAGTGAGAGAGGATGGAGGAAGGCGGAGATAAGAGATTGGGCCAAAACGGAGCAGGACATGGGGGTAGCGTCGCTGACAGCTCGCGGCAGCACGTGGCCAGTACGGGCACTGGTCCGGCGTGATTGGGCCTCAAGCGATTGCACACAAGCTCAACAAATCACCCCACGCCTCTCGCAGCCCCTCGCAGCCCACTGCCATGAGATATGATCCTACCTCCTACGAGGTTGACCCTCCGACCCAGCGGGACAGAGTAAATACGATGGAGAAGGAGGAGGAGGAAAGCTCTGAAGGCAACATGCGCTGATAATGACTCCAGCTGATCGACGGGAGCCTCAGCACAAAGCCGAAAACAAGAGCATGCGCCCAGACAGAAATGCAAGACAGACACCTGCAACAATCAGACCAACTCCTGACATTCAACTTTGACCCGGAAATGCCAACAGACAGGCAGTAGACGCATCCTGTCATGGATTCTCTCAGGGAGGCCTTCTGGTGGTCTCATTCCGCCGCAAGTTCGCGATGCCGAGGTACTTGCAACTGCCTCGGGTCAAGAGCACAGGCAGAAGCATTAACAATTTGAACAAGATCCGTTACCCCTCGTCCTTCCCCCCTCCGACTACCCCACCCCCCCTTCCCATGCACCATGCCCCCGCCCCCGTCTCTCCTCTCGGTCAGACGCACTGCCGCCCCTCCCCTGAAGGAAGCTGTTACAAACGCTTCGGAATAGCCTGGCAGAAAAATTCAGTTCTCTGTAGGAAGGCGCTTGAAGTGAAACTCAAGCGGGCCGCAAACAGATCCGAAACGGCACGAGAGGCTTCCGCGACGCCCACAAAAGGTCCCACAGCGGCTCACAAAAAGCCCCGAGAAGCCCCCAAGAAACCTCAAAGAAGTCCACAAAAAGCTACACGAGGCCTCCCAAGAAATCCCACGAATCCCCAACCCCCACGGGGCATCACGAGGCCCCACGACGCCCACGAGAAGCCCCTGAGAGCCTCGCGGGGGCATCGACACATGCGCAGCAAACAATGTCGTCAAAGACTGCTTCTCATGTTGATGTCCGTTCCTTCTCCAACTTCACTGACGCAGGTAGCGTATTTCATTTTGGCGCCCCTTCTTTGTCCACCTTCAACTGCGCGGAGAAGACTTGATGGAATCGCATTGGCCCGCGGCCGCGCGCTCCGAAACGGTTGCAACAAAAAAAAAAAAAAAAAACGGCCCATGACAGCTCCAACGCGAAAGCACGGCGCCCAAGAGTGGCCGAAGATGCCCCGCCGAAGCGCCGGATGCGGTCTCCGAAGGCGCCCGGCGGGCCTGCAAATCCCGCGTTGCAGTCTACGCGGTGCCTTCTGTGAGGTGCAACGTAGGTGATCCAATCAGTGTGGTGCAGTCATGGCGCCGTGCAATTCAATGCAGCCCTGGCCGCACTGCAGCCTCGCTGGGCCGCTCTCAAACGCAAGGTAGCGGATAGGCGCGGCAGCGCAGTTGGATTGACATTCGCGTATAAAATAGATTGGGATCCGGGAGCCCAAAAACCATTCATGACACGAACGTGAAGACCATGGCGAAAGCGTGCACCAGCAGCGAGATCAGCTGTAGCACAGGCGCGATTCCCGAACGTCCACTGGGGCGACGAAGTGGGGTTCACGACCCTCGCAAGTTCACACATGGCGCTGAACTGGCGCACATAATAAACTTGCGTTTGCCTCCGCATCCTCGCCATCGTCGCCTGCCTCCTCGCCTTCAACGCAATTCACTGCCCGTACAAGTTCAAGAAAATCCTCGAAACTCTCCGTCTGAATTGGCGTGGGTGAGAAACGTTTTGCTGGTGCTGCCATAATCACAAGTTTGAAAAGGGTGTCTAGCTGAATACGCACTTGGGAATAACAGTGCTGTTGGGAAACCCACACAATTTTGCAGAACCGCTGACGTCCGCTGCAATGACGGGCCTTCAAGTGCAGCGCAGCGGACGCTGCCGTACTGATGGACGTTACTACTCGCGCGTGTTCACACGTGGAGTTGAACCTGCACTGATTGCGAAGTTGACTTGTTATTGGCTCCAGTGCTACTGCTACTGTTACAACTACAACTACGACGACTACTACTAACACGACTTTTATCACTATTACGACGACTAAAAATACTACTACTACTACTACTACTACGACGACGACTGCTACTACTACTACTACTACTACTACTACTACTACTACTACTACTACTACTACTACTACCTACTACTACTGCTACTGCTACTGCTACTGCTACTGCTACTACTACTACTACTACTACTACTACTACTACTACTACTACTACTACTACTACTACTACGACTACCACTGACTACTACTACTACACTACTACGACTACTGACTACTACGACTACTACTACTACTACTACTACTACTACTACTACTACTACTACTACTACTACTACTACTACTACTACTACTACTATACTACTACTACTACGACGACTACTACTACTACTACTACTACTACTACGACTACTACTACTACTTCTTCTTCTACTACTACTACTACTACTACTACTACCACTACTACTACTACTACTAGTACTACGGCTACGACTACGACTACTACGATTTCGACTGCAACTCCGACGACGATTACTACTACTACTACTACTACTACTACTACTACTACTACTACTACTACTACTACTACAACTACTACTACCACTACTACAAGTATTACGACTACTACGACGAACGCGACTACTTCTACTACAAGTACGACTACTACTACCACTACTACGACTACTTCTACTACAACTACTAATACTACTCTTACTACGACTACTACTACAACAGCTACTACTACAGATGCTACCACTGGGGCTACTACTACTACTACTACTACTACTACTAGTACTACTACTACTACTACTACTACTACTACTACTACTACTACTACTACTACTACTACTACTACTACTACTACTACTACGACTACTACTACTACTACTACTACTACTACTACTACTACTACTACTACTACTACTACTACTACTACTACTACCACTACTACTACGACTACGACTACGACTACGACTACGACTACGACTACTACCACCACCACTACTACTACTACTACTACTACTACTACTACTACTACTACTACTATAAGTACTACTGCTACCCTGTAACGCCCCTCACGGGGGTAGAAGCCAATTGGGTGCAACTTACTCCGTGGAGCGTCGTGTTGTTTCCTCCGCCTTTCGTGTTCTTGCGCCAGACGTCCACCTCTGAGGCTCTCGGGAGTTTCCACAAGGCTCGAAGGTGGTCCAAAAAATGCGCCGCACATTGAAGACTAAGCTATTCGAGGTTTCTTCTTCGACTCCGTGCCCAGAGCCCCGACGTGGTGTCTGTTCATCGTGTCGGCGCACTTGATTTCGTGAAATTATCCTCGGAGGGCCTCTTTGTGACGCTCCCGGGAGAGGGGAGGGGGGAGGATGGAGGAGGGAAGGGGGAGGGAGGAGGGAAGAGGACGGTTGGGCAGGAGGCAGATCTCACGCACGGCGCTATCGGAGCCATCGAAGTTACGGATGAGGTAGGAGGAGGAGGCGGAGGAGGAGGAAGAGGAGGAGGCGGAGGAGGAGGAGGAGGAGGAGAAAGAGGAGGAGAAGGAGGAGGAAGAGGGGGAGGAAGGATTTGGATTTGAAGCAGGACGGATGAGGAGAAGGATGACGACGACGAGCAGGAGGAGGAGAGGGAATGACGCCCGTCCTCGAGCCTCTTGGTGTCGCCTTGGCTCTCATAGAGCGTGCTGGGGGTCCTGTGGCCTGTTTGGGCTCTTCGGGGCCTCTTGGGGCCTCTTGGAGCCTCCTGGGCCCTCTGGAGCTCCCTGAGTGTAATTCAAAGTGGGCCCTCCTGCAGGATCTCGTGGGCTCTCCCGG